TGGAGCTCCTAGTGGTTTCATCTAATGCGTCTTTTCAAGACGATCTCATCCATATCATTGCGCCAAATTTCTTTTAAACACAACTCACTCGATTTGAAAAAAACCAGAAGAAAATTCAAACACAGATTTGAAAGTTAACCAACAAAACTCAACCACACTAAAATTTAACAATCCTAACAGCATCAGCACATCAAGGACTACATCTTAGCAACAAATTTGAGTAAAAAATGGTTGAGAATTGTAGCTGTTGAAGTTCAACTTTGAAGATCTAAAAATGGAGTCCTCAAGCTTGATTCAGACCACGATTCTTCAAGTTCTTGAGCTGGTTAGCTTCACTGAATGTTGATGAAGCTAACTGAGTGGAGAATTTGAGTGATTAGGGTGTGGAAATGAAAATACGAAGTTCAAGCTTAAGAGTTCAAATGGGATCTCAGCAGGGTGATTCTGGCTATCAAAGCTTGTGGAAATAGGTGGAATGAATTCCTTATTTATAGGAGAAGTGTTTTGAATGCTGAGGGAGGGTGAATGATGCAAATTGGAGAAAATTCATGCGCACCTGCATCATGAGCAAAGTGTGACTTGCAACTTACCAAAACTCATCAAAAACTTGCGTTTCAGTGCTCTAATCAACCCAAGCAAGAAGTCATTTCAACCTAATCCAATTTTGACTTGAAGTGAAATTTCATCTTTGAAATTTAAATTTTTCTATCATGGTTCTCACAATGTAGGAGGCTTTATGAGGTGATTCTTCTTGCATTGGATAGAGGGTGATACAATCTTTGCAATGTGAAAAGAAAGTATTGATTTGGAAATCTGAGTTGAGAGATATGATACTTCAAAGTAGCTTACATCAAAAGGTTCAAAATTACAAAACACTTAGAAAAATTTCAAGTCTTTTTAGGGACCAAAAATGACCTATAATGTTTTGATAAAATCCAAGGCTTTCCATAGGTTTTTTGCACTTTTATATTGAATCAAAGTTATAGAGGACATATTCAAGTTCATTTTAGAAAAAGAATGAGCTCCAAATGATGAAAATTGACAAAGTTATGACCTTTTGGAGTTGACTAGAAAATCCTTTCAAAACTCAAAATGACCTATAATATCTTCAAACTTTTGATGGCTTTCCAAGTATAGTTTGATCTTTCTTTGTAAATGGAACTTGTAGGGGATGGTGAGAAGAGTTCATTAGAAAAATAACCACCTCAAGATGTTGAAAATTGAAGAAGTTATGCCCATTTGATCATAGCATCCACAATTTGCTAAATTAAGTCAAACACCTTGAACCAAATTTGAATCTCTTGATCATTCCTTAAAAATTAAGACATGGTGAATCACATATGATCTTGAAATTATATTGCCTTGAAAAATACTTGAGGATGAGGGGCTTTGGGGTTTGAGAATGCCATAAACTCAAGAAAATAACGTTGTTTGAGGTTGAAGAAACATGTTTTTCTTTCTTGAGAAACAAGCCATGATACCTTCATCCATTGTCTTAGAATAATGATATGCAAAAATGAAGATAAAAATGCAATGAAATATAAGACAAAACACAAGAGAAGAGATGGGGAAATTTTGGGGTGTTACACTCCTGTTCTGGACTGGGCCAGAGGCTAGCCCACCGTCGGGCACAGTCCAACCCAGCTTCTCGTCGGGGAAGGTCCAGTAAGGCCCAATCCCTCAACCCACATAGGGAGCGCTCACGCGTCTTCCCCAAGGTCTCCACGTGCTCCCCATGTGGGGACACGTTAATAGGAAACTACCAGTGTCCAAAAGAACAGGTCCCACCTTCTAAAGATCATGGGGCAGTTGACCCAAGACGAAAACCACATGTTGGGCTTCCCTACGCCACGTAGATCCTGGAAGTTATCCGTATTGGGCCTGAAGATCCAACCCAATACAGATAACCTTTGGCCCAATGATGGGGTGTCACAACTGCGAAAAATACCCAGCAGAAAAAATAGATGAGTCGCCACCGAACGTTATTTATCCCAAAGAGAGGGAAAGGAAATGATCGAACAAAACCTAAAAGAAAGGAGAAGACAAGGTCATCGCAACCAAATCTTGGGTTCAAAATTCGGTAACGCAAGCGGAAAGTACTAGCACCCTTCACCTCTGTTGTACTCAACGGGATCCACGCTTGTTGTTTGATCAAAAGGGTGTGTTATCTAAAATTTGCTGTTAAACGGGGAAGGGGAAAGAAAAATGAAGACTCGATAGGATATCGTCGCCTTATACCTATGTATTCCCTCGTGCAATGGAAAAGTCAGAGTCAATGTAGTTCGGAAAACTACGGGTGATGGAGGGAGGTTACTCGCCAAGACATCACCATCTTGTGCCTACGTATCCTCATATGGTATGAGAAATCAAAGCAAACATAGTTCGGAGAACTACGGGTGAAAGGTCTCGATCGCACTAGGGAGAGAGAAAAGGTTTGAATAACAGGTTGGTCTCAACCACACTAGGGTGAGAGAAAAGGTTTGAACTAACAGGTTGGTCTTGACCGCACTAAGGCGAGAGAAAATGTTTGAATTAACAGGTTGGTCTCGATCGCACTGGGGCGAGAGAAAAGGTTTGAATTAACAGGTTGGTCTCGATCGCATTGAGGTTAGAGAAAAGGGGAAGTTAGTTGTTAGTGTGCTTGCCAAGGATAGGAATCATCGTGCCTACATATCCTTATCAGGGAATGAGGAATCAGAGAAGTCGTAGTTCGGCATTACGGGACGAGGCCTCGATCACACTGGGGCGAGAGAAGAGGTTCTGGGCCTGAAACGCCTTAATAGAAGTGTGTTGACTCAGTTTAAGATGTGTATCGCACTAAAGTCTATGACATAGGAGCGAATGCGTTGCATATCGTTCAAGGGGCATACGCTAAACACTCTAGACAAGTAAAGAGAGACCCTTCACTCATCATTCCCCATGTGCTTAAGGCTCGTGGCGCACAATACTCATCGTATTCATTAAGTGTTTTGATTATTATTTTGAGAGAGAAGAGAAAGACGCACGCAAGGTCTAGGGGAAGCTGAATCCTAACTGTTATCATACAATGAATCCTAACTGTTATCATACAATGTGGCCCTAAAGTCAGGATTAAGAGGGAAGTTTACCTAATATTGTCATGCTTGGATTGAAAGCCTAATGTCTCTCCTACTTAGAATATAATCGGAAATCATGTCGAGCTAGAAATCCTAAGTGATCATGTGAATACAGGGGTAATCAACAGGTAAAAGCGAAGCGTCACAACCACAAACAACATCAAGTATCGAAACTCAGGCAAATATACACAAGTATCGTCAAAGAAATATTCACAAACGCACTCAAGAATTAATAGAAACTAAAAACAAAATTAAGAATAAAAATTCAAGTTAATCAACAATTAAAATCAAGGTTAATGTTAAACGTCAAGATTAATTTCTAAAATCTAATTCTAATTGATCTAAATTAAATAATTTCAAAGTTAAAATCTAATTAGAAAACTCATGATTTAAATCTAATTAAAAGTTAATTCTAAGTTAATATTAAAACTAAAGTTAATTAATAAAATCCTAAACAAAGTTAATTATAAGTTAATTAAACTTAGAATTATTATCTAATTAAAAATCAAAACCAAATTAAATCAAAATTAATTTAATTAACCAACTCTAAAAAAAACAAAATAATAATAAATAAATAAACAAAGGGGCAGAAAGGGCTTTGGGTTGTGTAAAAGAAACAAAACCACCTAGGCCTAAGCCTTCAGGCCCATGAATCAAAAAGGGGGGTTCAACAAGTAGTTGGGGGTTACAAAAATGAAAAGACTCCAAAGGCCCATCAACCCGGCCCATGTTTAATATCTTAAGAAAGAAAAAACCTAAAAACTACTCAGTAAACCCCAAACTCATCCCTCCTTCCTTCTACGTTGTCGATGAATAGTGCTATCTGTATGGATGAATAGTGTTGTCCGTACGATGAATAATGTTGTCCGCGTGATAAATGGTATTTTTGAGTTTTCGGGCTTTTTTGATTCGGTCCATGGATCCATGTGATTTTGCGTTTTGTTTGTTGGGTATTTGCTACTATAAATATGTATCTCTTATATGCTTGATGTGTGACAATCTTAGAGTTTTCACCAACAAAGGAGACCAAGGGTTTAAAAGTATAGCATAGGGTTTCATCTATGCACAAAGAAAATCTTGGATTACACCTTGGGTTTGAGTGATTCATATATTGAGAGTTGGAGAGGTAGAAAAACACTTGGTTAGAAAATAGGGTTGTTCTTGAGCGCCTTCAGCGTTGTTCTTGGAAACTTGAAGGCGAATGTTATTTTCTTGTAACTCATCTGTAATCTCTTGTAAACTTTCTGAGTATAGTGAATTGGAGAGTTACTCTCTCCTCCAGAGTAGATCGTTAGATCGAACTGGATAAACAAACCTTTGATTTTTTCTTATCTTATTCTATTATATTATATGTGTACGAATTATTATTGCTGAAAACCATTTATTTTGGTTGCAATTGTTTTTTGCCTAACAAATTAATATTGAATTTTGTCATAATTCACAACAAGATTCACAATATTTTTTAACACAACCACATAAAATAAGGTTATCCCTTTTATGCATATTTAACTATGTTTTTTTTTTTTTATATTTATCAATCGTATTGTTAATATAATTAATTCTTTGAAGAATACAATATAAGAAAACAAAACAAATTTTCTCACTTTTAAAAATGACGTTAGTTGTTTATATATGTAAAGCACAATGTAAAAGCCACAAATTTATATCAACTTTAATAACTAATTTAACACAAGACAACCCTCACAACACAAGTATAAACTCCCAAAAGTTATAATTACACATCAAATTATGGTATATATAGAAACATATATTATTTAATACAATAATTTTCTTGATTGAATGATTAATATTCATAGTTTCAAATTGAGATCTATCACAATATGACATTGTATTTCACATATTCTACCACAAATATAGTTGTGATCATAGTTTAAAACCATGAATTTAATAGGAAAGTCTATTTACAAAAGCAAGAGCATTACTAGTCAATGAAGCAAGATTACCAACTCTTGTTTTAATCATCTTTTGTACCGAAGATCTCACTTCCATTTCATCAAACTCATCCGTACATGTTCCCGCATTTGTTATAACCGAACTCATCCATGTCTTTATGGTATCCCATTGAAACTTCTCATCATTAGTTCTAGTTCCATTCAAATGCACAAGCCCGTCCGCCGATTGCTCCAGCGAATCCACCGTGTCATCGACGTTTTCGCTGCAATCCGCGATAACCAATGTTTCGGCGTGTGTTAGTTTCTTGGAGCTTAGTTTTTTCAATGTCATTGATGCACTTCTTGACGATTTAAGAGCTAGGTAGATAGAGATTTTGGTGAGTGTTAAAGTGTTTGTTTTGATTTTTGATGTGTATGGGGAAAGTGACTTGTAGCAAATATTAGGGTATGTGGTTGAGTTGCATTGGTTCTTTAAGAACTTTTTGTAAGTTGTTGATGTGGAATTTGTGGTGGTGTTTGATGTAGATGTTGTAGATTGAATTAATGTTGAGATGATTAGAAGGGTGAAGGTTACTTTGAAGAGATTATGCAATTGGAATGCCATTTTTTGCTTTCTATGTATTGAATTAATACAAATGATTATAAGGGGGCTTTATATATGATAAGTTTGGCAGATAACTTGTATGATAAATTGATTTTGTTTACAAGCAAGCGTAAACCGTACAAGAAGGGATTGCATGTGGCACATGTTGATTTCGTAGTTTTGTCAAAATACACATGTATTTAGATCGCGTGGGAAATAATATAAGATCAAATAGTAAAGAGAAATGATAGGGATGCACATGATCTCATAGATGACTTTGATTGGAATCTATTGAACTACAACAATTTATTTGGTATGTTGCGATTTGCTGTTGATAAATATGATAATATTACGTGTCTTCGGCTAAAATTGATAGTGGTGCGAGGACATTAAATTATAAAAATATATATTTAAATTAGAATAACTTTTGTGCGATGTCGCAGTTGTAAATTTATTTATTTATTTTTTATTGAATTTTAATTATGTTAAAAATTTATTTTGAAAAAAAACATAATTATTAAATTTATATTACAATAATTTATTGAAAATAATAATTAAGACAATGATATAATTTAATCATACATTTTATTTATAAAAAAAAATACATATTTGTAAATTGAGAATGACATTCGTAATTAGTTTTGTAAATTTAAATAACTATAACATAATTTTTTTTGTTTAGTTTTGATTCTCAAGTCTATTTAATAGTTATTTTTGATTTGTATATTTAATTTTAAGTTGTTAAAAGGTGTGTATTTTCAGTGTTATATAAAATTAAGAGAATTACAAATATCATCAAATAAAACTTTATTAGCTTTTTAAAATTGATATCTATTTTTGTCCAATTTTAATTATCTAATGAATAAAGAGTTGAAGGGTTGAAAATCCTAGTTGCTATAGTAGTTTAATTAATTTTTAAATAATTATTTTAATTTTATTAATGAGATTGTAAAAATTTATCTGATTTTATCGTTGATATTAATTGAAATATGAATGTTTTTTTTAGATATTATTCTCAATATTTTTATGATACACTCTATGGTCATATGTCTATTTTAAATTGAGAGGAATATAGATAATTGTAATAATAATTGTCTTGTTATCATTTTTGTTAAAAATGAAAATTTATTTTGTCATTCCCAAGGTTCGAACATGTGACCACATAGGAGGATTATGTGATGATGTGGCAAAATGGAATAGAATTGTTAACATGTGTCGCAATATAATCCGCCGCTTCAGATTTAATATATAAGTGAAAATAAGATTTTTGAGGTACTACATATGACTATATGATGATGTGACAAATGTAGTAGAATTGTTAGCATGTGTCGTAATATAATTTGCTACTTCAAATTTAATATATTATATAATATAGACTCTATCGATGATATCATTTGAAATATGAGTGTTTTTTTAGACATTATTCTCAATATTTTTATTATACTCTCTATGATCACATGTCTATTTTAAATTTAAAATTTAAAGGAATATAGATAGTTGGAATACTAATTATCTTATTATTATATTTGTTAAAAATGAGAATTTTTTTCGTCTTTTTCATGGGTCGAACCCGTGACCTCTAATAGAGAATAAATATTGTATTTTTTTATTTAAAAAGTGAAAATAAGATTTTGAAGGTGCCACATAGGACTATAAGATGATGTGGCACAAACGGAATAGAATTGTTAACATGTGTCGTAATATAATTTGTCGCTTCAAATTTAATATATTATATAGATTGTATCTAAAACTAAAATTAAGGTAATTAAAATCAGACCAGATTAATCCATTCAACCGATTGGATTGAGAATCAAACCTCCAAATAAGTCTTAAAAATCGCTCACGAGAAAACCAACGTACAAACTAAAAAAACCCAGTAGAAAACAAAAAAACCAACCGTTCTAACCACCTAAAGGGTTGAACAATGTTTTTTTTTCTCTAAAAAAAAATCGAATTTAACATTATAAAATAAATATGTATCATATTTGCAATAACATTGAAGAAAAGAACATGAAGGAGTTTGTGTACGTGAAATAAGTAGAAAATAGAAGAATGGAAGAAGACAATATGTTTGGGTGGCGGTGCTCCAAACTGCAAAAATATTTTTGGAGAAATAAATTTAGAAAAAATAAGTTTAAAAGTTTGTTTGGATAAAACATTTTAATGAGGAAAATTAATTTTTTGAGGAAATTAAAATTATTTGATTAAAATTTATTGTTTAGATAAAAAATATAGAGAATTGTTAAAATGATGTAAATTTATGGAATACTTTATTCAGGTTAAACTTAAGGAATTTAAAATGACACAAAAAAAGTAAAGAATTTTAAGTTGCTTTTTCACTCTATATAATGCAAATGTTAAATTGTTTATTATTAATTTTTCAAATTTTGCAAGATGGTATTCATATTTTATAAAAATTTCAAATTCACTTTCAAAATTTTCAATAAACTGCAAATAAATCCCTAATAATTTTCAAATTTTACAAATTGATCCATTTAAAATTTTAAAAATTGCAAATTGATCCTTATTTTTCATATTTTAAATTTGTCCGAAATTTTTTAAAATTTATGAAAATGACCCCTAAAATTAACGATGAATCATTTTAATACTCCATCCAAACAAAAGAATTTTAAAATGAATGAATTTCAAGTGAATCATTTGAATAAATTAGAATTTTAAATTTTCTATAAATTCTCAATTACTCATTCAATCACACTCTAAAAGTCTGTTTAGAGTTTAGATGAAGTAATTTAACGAGAGAAAGTAATTGTTTGAAAAATTTTAAAAAGATTTGATCAAAATCTATTATTTGGATAAAAAATATGAAGAATTGTTAAAATGATATAAATTTATGAAGTATTTTACTCAAATTAATTTTAAGAAATTTCAAATGACACCAAAAAATAAAATATTTGAAATTGCTCCATAATATGAATGCTAAATTGTTTATTATTATTTTTTAAAATTTTACAAAATAGTTCTTATATTTTATAAAAAATTTAAATTCACCCCAAAATTTAAAAAAAAATTACAAATCAATCTCTAATAATTTTTAAATTTTACCAATTGGCCCTTTGACATTTTCAAAAGTTACAAATTGGTCTCTATTTTTTTATATTTTAAATTTTACACCAAAATTTTAAATTTTTTATAAAAATGACCCCAAAAATGTAACAATGAATACTTTTAATACTCCATCTAAATAAAAGAATTTAAAATTACATGAATTTCAATTGAATCATTTGAGTTGCTTAGAATTTTGAATTCCTTAAATAATTTCAATTACCCATCTAAACACACTGTTAGTGTTTTAGGGTCTTTCATGTTTAGATCTAAATGAGCTTTATAAAAATATGTAAAGGGGATTTCTTAAGGGGGTTTCTTAATGCTCCATATAGATTACTAATACACCTTGTGAAAATAGAATAATACCTCCAGATTCTTCTGAAGATGATCTTCGAACGTACTTCAAATACACACAACTCATTCGGTTTCAAGACACTATGATTAAATTTATTCCGAAAATATATTTTTAGAATAAATTTAGTCATAAAATTGGAGCGTAGCTCAAAAATAAATGAATTATATGTATATAAGGTGCGTTCGGAGATGAATTTTTTAAAACTGTAGGGCACTTTTGAAATTTCATAGGGTTCTTTTCCACCTCATAGAGTGGGATAAGAAATTTCTATTTATTACCCTGTTCCATTGACCGAAAGACTTATTTTCTAATCATACCCCCAATACCCACCTAATTTTTCACACTCAGACTCACACTCTTCCTCCCCAATACACTAGCAAAACTCATACATTTATCATACCTATTTTTATCGATGAATACTCCTGTCCAATACACTAGCAAAACTGATACATTTATCACACTTGTTTATATTGGTGAACACTCCGGTACTCGTTTAAATTTATTTTTATTGAGGATTGATACTCGTTTAAATTAATCAGAGAATTTAACTGTGTGTCAATAATGTAGTTGGTGTTAAGAAAACTTGAAGCCAAGCTTACACTTTGTGGTTATATCCTGCTAAACACATATGTTAGTAAAGGATTTTGTAGTCAAGATTCACACTAATTTCCTATAAATAAGTGAGTTAAGTTCTTAAAACATTTTCCTCCCTTTTTCCGTTTTTTTTGTTTCTTATATATCTCCCTTTCACTTAGACATATCATAGGGCAGGTCAAGATTGTTTTTTATCTCTCCCAAATTCAAATCCGAATTTTCAAACAATTATAGTTCTCCGCTCCAAATCTAAACGAGAATGAGGAATTAAAACTCAAACGAGATTGGGTTGATTTCAGGTATTTCTGCTCCGCTATCATCCATTTAGTAAAATCAATTTTTTTAATAGAAATATTTTTTTTAAATCAAATTAAATTACAAATAATAAAATAAAAAAATCTTAAAACATTTCATACACACATTTTCAATATTTTAAATAATAAATAAATATCAAAATATCAAAACATTCGACACATATTTAATATTTTACATTATCAAAACAAAATAATATTGTACATAATAAAATAAATGGGACGGGTTTGGTTGGGTACTAATGTACCCATTACTCGACTTGTCTCCATATTTTATAATCAGAGAAAACTCAAACCTAAACTCAGTCAAAGAGGATTTTCCCGTCAACTTTGGAGCGGGTTTGGGTGGGTATTGTCAAATATGAGTTATGTTAACATGCATATTCTCACTCTACACTTTTTAAAAGTAACTTTTTGATAAAAATCTAAATGAGGTTTTGGATATGAATTATAACTTGGTTCAATAGGTGACTTAAAGACTTAGAACTTGAGGTAAGTTTATTTTCCCCTCCTTTTCCTTCCTCTTGGTCAAACCCTTATTCTGGGTGATTGTTGGATTTTTGAAAATATTTTTTATCTTAATCCAAACATGTTTTATATTATATATTTACACAATAATTCCCTAATTGCTTATATCAATTTAAAGTTAAATTAGGCGTTCTAAGTGGATTAATTCAAACACCACAACTTATAAT